TTAGCCGTATGTCCAGGAAAGCTAGCTTTCCTTTCTTTTCAATTTCACTTGTAAACTTTAACGAGAAATGCGTGCTATTAAACTGAGCTAGCAGATGAGAAACTTCAGTTTTTGGATCACAAATTATGAGAGTATCATCCAAATCCCTCCAGTAGGAATCAAGTGACGCAATAATTGGTCGGAAAGGCCCGCGTTCCAACTTAGTGTATTACCGAATATAATCCGATGATTCTTGGACAATTTTTCGTTTCTTTAGAGTGGGGTCGGTTTATAAAAAAGCTACACGGTATATAGAAAAAGACATGCAAAATCCACCCAGGAATCCACTGCCCAAAACTGCCCTTATCCCCTCTTAGCACCACCAGCTTGTGACGGACGGTATTCCAGACTGAGATTGGAAAACCCTATAACTGGACATGTTGCTTTTCTGTCGAAAATTTTCGGTATATTGCGCATTTGTCGTTCTTGACGGATGGCAATAGCGAATCAAAAACCCTAAAGCATTATTGGAGGGTCAATTTTGGACTACACGTTGTGTGATTGGATTGCGACACGCAACCTCAATGTAATGGACTGTGATTCACATTGAAATGAACCTTTGTCACTGCGATCACTGGTACCGTATTCAAAGTAGATGGAAATTGGGTGTTGCCGGCCCGAAAACACAGCACAACCACGACGCGTTTCGATGTAATTTCATCTCATCAGGTGGAGACAGCAGGATTTGAACCCGCGACCATTGGAATAGCAGCTCACACTACTACCCCTTTGGATACCGGGTCACGATGGGCAACGCTTTTTGTCACAACGGTAAATGACTAATTGGAGGGTTAATTTTGGACTACATGTTGTGTGATTGGATTGCGACACGCAACCTCAATGTAATGGACTGTGATTCACATTGAAATGAACCTTAGTCACTGCGATCACTGGGACCGTATTCAAAGTAGATGGAAATTGGGTGTTGCCCACCCGAAAACCCTGCACAAATTCCATCGAAACGCGTCGTGGTTGTACAGTGTTTTCGGGCGGGTAACACCCAATTTCCATCTACCTTAAGCATTATGTTATGCTAGGCGAGCCGGTGCCTTAAAAGTACAACGTCGTCTACACATCTGACTATGAAGTTCGCTCTCACCCTCTACTCTATGTGGTTCATATGCATGACGCCCCCGATTATGCAAGGCCTGTCTGACACACCTCTCACCTTGACTTAACGTCTGGTCATTATGCGTTCTGACGGCTCGACGCTCCATTAACCGCTGTTATAAGACATTACGGTCACCACAGCTGACCAGTAGTGGAGCATGTTTCACTTGTACTCACGTGTGAGCAGGTGTTGATGACGTCAAAAGCGTGAAAACAATTTCGTTTCTCTTCTGCTGATTTTTTTGGGGGTCCGTTATGACAGGGACTTATAACTGGACATATTTGCTGTTGCAAAGCTATACTATCAGCATATCTATGGACGGGCTTATATTCGGTAAAATATGGTAATTTAGAAGCCGTCGAGGAATTCAAGTATCTAGGCAGCTATATCAGCGCCCGTGGGATGGAAGATGTGGTCACGAACCGCGAAGCAAAAGTTCGATGCGCTTTTACCAATCTCCGTCATCTGTAGTACCGGGGTGACGGTACTCTCGCTCTGAACGGCAAAGTTTACAACGCAGTATCTTCGCGAAACTTGGCCTATCAAGTCGACAGACGTACTGAGGCTAGCTACGTTCGATCATCGCTGCCTTCGCAGTTTCGCTCATGTCTGTTGGGAGCACCGCGTGACCAATGAGCGTGTTCGGTGTGGTGTATTTGGTGCAGGAATGGCGAATGAACCACTGAGCACCATTATATCACACACCAGGCTCTAATGGCTGGGCTATGTGTTGCGCATGCCAGCCCACCGACTCCCGCGACGTGCGTTGTTTGCGCGATCGATCTGAATGGCAGAGGAAGAGGGGAGGCCAAGCGGTGACGCTTCGAGGTTGGCGTCGGTTGCTGCCTCCCGGCTGCCTGGCTGAGGACCGAAGGATGATGGACATTTTTGGTTGGATGCACTAGCCGACATGGCGAAGAGTCGACCTCAGTGGCGTTTGCGTTTTGATTCTCTTTGTCCCTCCCCCTCCCTTTAGCTTCCTCCTCCAACAATTATCACAAATGTGATATTAGCATTATGCTACTTATTTATAGCTTTTAAGTCTCCAATGCTTAATGTCTTACTTTTTGTATTGCGGCACATTAGCTGAGGTGTGTTGCTCACCCTCAGCTAAGGTGTATTGATGCTGATGATGATTGATTTCCCTATCTTGTCGCCTTAAGAAATTCATAGTCCTATGACTTCTGTTCCTCAACACGTTCTTACGTTTTCCAGAGGGTTGAGAGTGCCGTGTATGCAATGTATGTGGACTCCAAACACTCTTGATGAGGACTACATATGCCACCACCACATTATAGTCATCCGGGGTAAAATGGGCATGCGGATAGATTAAAACCTGTATTATATAATTTGTTGAGGCTGTGTAAAGATTTGTAGGCTTATTAAAGCGGAATGATTTTCGCAGCTGCTTTGCATAATGTGACAATATTTTGCTTTGCTACTGCAATACAGGAAGCTCCGCCATCTTGGTTAGGGCTGTCATGTGTCTACACTAGCTGGTAAAACTCTTGAAAACAACTAAACATTAAAGTTATACTGGTGTGCGCTACATATTATTGATCAGTAAAACTTTTTCCCTGGGTTTGCAGACAAATATATTTTAAAACTGGCTTCTGAATGGCTTAGATGGCGTAAAGTAGTTAGGACTATATTTCGCAGAGCAACTTAACACAAGTTAGTTGGAGGTAATTTGTTTGGTGTTATTTGTAACGCTTATACTGCTTCAACTATGTGAGTTAATAGTTATAGACTACGGTACAATAAATTTGCGCCTATAAAGTGTTACATCTGTACCAGCCCTGGAGTTAAGGTAGCCCTGCAGGATCATGCTTTGGCGTCACGAAATCAGGATGAACAGTGGATTCCGTTTTCGGATCCTGGATCGTGCATTTTATTCAACCTGCAACGCATGTGAAGAAACCAATTCTTTTTATTTTTGATGGACATGACAGCCAACCCACTTACAGGACAGTAAAGTAGACCATGGAAAACAACGTAACAAGAATAATGTGTTTGTCGCCAAATATTAACTATGCAATTCAACCATTGTACGTTGTCTTTAGACTTTTAGAGTTAGCCTGCAAGTCTATTCTGAGGACGTAGTTTCGAGACTCCAGAAAGTTGGCAAGGAAGTTTTTTCCTTAAACATTGGTTAGACCGATTGCTGTAGAAAAAGGTTGTCAGTAGATTTAGAGACGGTGAGATCTACCCACTTAATAAAGAAACCATTCAGCAATGAATTGTAATTTCTGTGGATCATGCTCAAACCGTTAGTACAGTCACAGCGGCAATGGAAACAGAAGAACAAAGAAATGTGACAAGCACTTATGAATAATGTTGGACTATCACCGTTTAAAGTTTTACAGTAAGCAATAATATAAACGATTTCACGTAGGTGTTCACCCACTAACTTGGGAGCCATTGGCCCTGCTCGAAAACAAGAAAAGTTCAAACAATGCTTGGTGAAATATTCACAATAACAGAGGTATCATCCACGTTTCTTAACCAAGAAACGGAAAGGAAACTCAATGAATCTAAAAAGACAAATCAAAAGAATACCAATTCCATCCTTAACTTACCGATAAATATGGAGCAGACTAGAGAAAATAAACAAATGATCAAAGATAAAAATACACGCAATGTCATCATTGGGGACTGGGTTTCAGTTAAATATGAAGCCAAAAAAACCGCACAAATTTTTGGGACTTGGTATTGAAACACCAGACGAAGGCTCGTACACGATGAAACTTTTGACTAAATCACCGGTTGGATATACTACGTCTTTCCAGAAAAGGATGGCAGTGATGATGTTTTAGCCGAAAACATCCTTAAAAAGATACCACAATAGCAGTGAACAATATGTTGTCAGCGAAATGTTTCTGCCACAAGCACCATTGATCAAAACCGTAGAATCATGATTATATGTCTGCAGAAACAATGTTTCCAGCTAATTATCTTGAAATCACATACTTTGTCAATAACATGATTTTGTACAAAATTGTTAACGCCTGTCTTATTATTTCACTGTAAAATGACGTCATTACTGCTGGAAGGCGATATACCCATTTTGCTCGGGATTATACACATTTTTCCTCGGCTATGGGGTAAAACAGGTATTAGTAAGGGGGAAAATGGGTATAGGGCTTAACTCAATATTTTAATGACAAAAGTAAATTCATTTACCTGGTTATGAGTGGTTACAAGTTTAACGCAACAGTTATGACTTAACACTTTAATAAAACATTAACAGTACGCTCAGAACTATTACATAAAAGGTGTCTATTTTATACCCATTTTACCCCGGGTGACCCTATGTGCGCACACCTGTCGACCACATGTCCACGTTTTACTTTGTTAGCTGAACTGTTGATTCATGAAAAAATTATCAGTAAGTCCATTCACATGTACACCGGCTTTCCTACCATACAACCCTGCATGCTCCAGGGGCCGTCCTGTTTACATTGACCGTTGAGATAATCCCGTTTTCTTCACCTAACTACCTAATTACCTAACCTTGAGCTCTGCCCTCTCGTGACCTTGCTGCTATTTGAACATATCGATCGATCGCGTCCCGTTTCACCCACCGATTCAGCCACTCATCTGCTAAATTTGTTCTTCCAAAAACGGTGGTGTTTTCATGATCTTTGGCGGCGTGGAGTAAAGTTTACTTCGGTGGTCACCTACTTTCTGGAATGATCTTGCACTTGTCCAATAATTTTAAACATAAACTGCCAGTCGCGTCACTCAACCTCGAATATTCGTCAATTTTATCCACACAGCCAGGCGGGAAACCCATATTTTCTCGGACCGTTTTTTCGTATCCCTGTTTCTGCGGCCTTCTCGAAGGCTTATGTTCCACGTTCGCGAAATACAGCCAACTGACCTACCACAAGTCTATGAATTCACCTTAAGTTTGCTTCGTCACCATCCTAAACAATGCACTAGTTATTTGGACTCTAATAGACTGGCCGATCTTTTCCTAGAGGGTTATCTCCGTGGATTATTATTGGTTAAAGTAGAGGATGCGCCGGTACCAACTGGGTGTCTGGATGTTGGTATGGATGGGAAGATCCAACGACCTATCGGCTGCATGATATTTCATCCCGACTTCTCACCTCTTCATGGCGGTCGCGGAGTATACCTAGATCAGTTCTACATCGAACCACCATTTCGCCGCATTGGTCTTGGCCGAAAGATGATGATCGAGTTGTGCCACTATGTACTTGCATCCAATGGGACTTACATCAAACTCACATACCAAAACGGACTGGGCTTGGATCCCGTGTACGAGAACATGGGCTTTATCAATCTTTCCAGACAATATCCTGGCCTTCATTTATTCGAATCCTATGGAAAATTAAGACTTGAATCCTTTTTTGAAAGAGGAAGGGAGCTGGCTAATCAACCAATCCACACATCTCACAGACCGATCCACCGTCTAATCTTGACCGTCCCGCTATCCTACCCAGTCTCGGAGGACGAGTGTGGGATCCCTGCTTGGCACCCAATCTCGACGCGTTTGCCACCTCGGCCTAACTTCACTTCATTTGGCCCTCCACCAGCCAGGCTTGTGATTGTAAAGGAGGAGACACCACCCAATTCCCATTCTTCCTCTACTACTCCTCCTGACTGCTTGACAAGTATTGGAACCAAATTCTGCATGTTCGTTGAACAATGTTCGGTCTGCAGCTGGCTCGGTCCTATGGTGACATTTTCCGACTTCGTCGGTGACACTACTGTCTTGGACTCAGAACTTTTTACTCATCGCGTCCGAAGTTGGACAGAGTTATCGGATAAAATCAGCGGCGCAGTGTGGGAGGTTTCCGTCGGACCTATTCCTAACACCAGTGAGCCAGAAGCTCAACCGTGTTCGTTCAATCATGCGCCTCTGGCTTCAATCCTGAGTAGCCTGAATGTTCCGGATGACACTTCTCAGGAAGGCTGGAATATAGCGTTCTTGGATGCAACTGGAATTCGAAATCTAATAGAATCTCGAACTCGGAATGATGAGCAAAAGCGTCGCTTGGACTAAAGTGTATCTAGAGATCCTTACGAATTTTATGACTTTATTTTTGCAGTATTATTTCAACCGGGTTATAATTCGATCGGTTTCTGTTTCAACTTCATTTCATTCATTCGATGTTAATGCAATTGGCAATTCACTTCTTTTGGCCACTGCCCTATATCGTCCCGATTTAGTACACTCCTCACTGAGAGTGGAAGTCTTGTTCTCATCGCAGAATATGCGCTATCTCTCTTCGAGAATTCTTCTAAATAGTTACCATCTTGCAAATGCTATAATCCTAGCGGGATAATCTTCGGGCACGGTGCACAATGACTCATCGGACTATTCGGGAAGTTACAAGTTGTTCCGTCAGAGCTTCACTCGGTTATTCGAAAAGTGTTAGGTGATCGGCTTGTCCTATTGCGACCCAATAGTGGGGGGCGCGCCTCCAGAATCCCAATGCACTACTGATTCATCTGCAGCTAATGTAGCCGGTCCGTCGGCGTCACGGTAACACGTTGACAGGTAAGAGATCGATCGGTTTCGCATCCTGTTATCCTTACCTTCCTATTCCACTCCGGCACTTTTTCTTCCCTCTTCCGTGCTTTCTTAGCTGTCACCTTTACACCGGCCTCTTACTAGGCGGCTCGAGCATCAAGCCGTCTACGAGGTATGTATTTTGTCTTGCAGCTTGTCACACTACTTGGACACGGAAGAGCTCAGAACGCCGGACCGAAGTAATATTACACTAATGACTAAGTGGTCTGCACGCCTGGCTTGCAATCATAAGGTCACCGGTTCGCATCCGCGGAGGGGCGGGCGTGCTGGCGGTATACTTAGATCACGCGCGACGTGGTGGTCGCACGGTAGCGTAGCTCCGTTACGGCGTACAGCTGACGATTTGTCTATCTACCTAATGACTTATACTACTAGACGACGGATGACGGCTACGTCCCATATGGCTACACTACTAGCAGCTCCCTTGTCGATTGGGCTTGCAATCCTTGCCATTAATGCTTACTTCGCACCAGTACACGTTGGGGCGAGACCTGATGACACTGAATTAGTTCTCATCTCGATCTGCTATTAACTTTAAACCAGCCATTTCTTTCATCCACCCTCACTCGCTTCAGCATCTTAGGCGCTTACTAGAGAATTCGGTCGGTATTCAGTGAATATTTATAATGATACATAATTATGAATCTGTTCTATTCAAGATGAGCGAAGTGGACAGCATACATTGGGTGTCGGTAAAGATATTTGTCTCCTGTGACATTTTTATCCCACAGGGGGTCTTCATGAACAAGTTTGACGGTGCCCTTACAGTCTGCAAGTTGGGGTGGCCACTTGTCGATCCAATTGACTTTCTCCACTACGCAGTGGTCACTTGGGCCCATGGGAACCGTGGTCATCCAAAGACGAGAAATTTCATATGCTTCATATTGATCCACCGTTGGGTCTCCGTTTCTCGACTCACTGTTGGAAGAAGCGCCTGCTCGCCTCATGAGAACCATGGAAGTCAAGATTACTCCGTTCCCAAACATCGAATGATCAGTGGGTTTGAGAATCTAGGAGTTTTCAAAAAAACGAAACTTTTAGAACATCGTCTTAGCTACGATTTCCTAATTGTTACTCGCCGTGCTCGACTTTTCTAAACCACTACGGTTCAGTTGACAAAGTGTACGGTAAGTAGGGTATGATAACTGCTTCATTGCTCTGGAATTTCCTGTTACCTGTTTGCCCTCGCACAATGCGACTGAGATACGGTCGGACTCACAGAGTGCGACCAGCTGTACCTAAGCTAACGACACGAACAAGTGCATCTAACTAGTTGGTGATTTGTGTGCCACATCATCCTCGTCTCATGTTAGCCACCTACGGACCTAATAGTGATTGCATGTCCTGAATTTCTCCAATAGCTAGCGTGCGGAATTAGCTTCGGAAGATCATAGTCTCGGAGCTGTTGACAAGGGCAGAGTTGGGTTAATTCTGAAGAGAGGTGCTGAGAGCTGTTCTTTTCTTGCTGAGGTGATACTCTGCTGCTGATGAGGGTATGCACTGCTAGAATAGTCATTTATCTTGCTTGCTAGCATCCTTACACCATACATTCATTACATATGTTACGTAGAGGTAGAAAACGCCTGAGCTCTTATGCCACAATCCAAGATAAAGGCGACAAAGACGCAAAAGATGCACGTCAGCTAAGCCACAGGTAACGGACATCGTCCCGGAGAATTAGTAGTCGGTTTTTGTGTCGCAAAATATTCATCTTATGGGTCAGAAATGAGGTCGTGGTTGGAGGGACAAAGAAACTCCCAACACAAACGCCATTGAGCCATGTCAAAAGTGCATCCAGCAAAACTTGTTCATCGTCTTTCTGGTCCCAATCAGGTAGCCGAGAAGCTCCAACCGAGGGCAAGTTCGAACAAAGGGCCTTTATTCCTCATGACCAACTCATCGCTTGGCCTCCCCTCCTCCCATCCACACCCCCGGCGCGCAAACAATGCAAAACAGGAGTCTGTGTGATGACATGTGCAACACGTGGTCCAGCGGTCGCAGCCCTGTCGCGGTGCTGAGTGGTTCGCTTCCTCTTCCTGTCCCATGGACAGGACGCCGAACACGCTCATTGCTCACGTGGTGTTTCCACCGGATAGTAGCCAAACTGCGAACGCACCGATGGCGGAACATGACCAGCATGTTTACGTCTGCCGATCCATTGGGTCAGGTTTCACAACCCTATGGTAGGGTTGAACGCACGGCTGCATTGTAAACTCTACCCTTCATGGAGAAACTGATATCGCGCCAACGCCATACATGACGGTTAGCAAAAGTGCCTCGACATTTTGCTATACATTTCATGATCGCGTCATGGGTTTTACAGTCGCCGATATAACTATCTGGTTGGTTGCATTCTGAACGACTTCTAACCGATCCCCATTAAGAGTCAGCTCAGTGGTAAGTCCCTGCCAATCATGGAGGAAAGCTTTGCAATTTGAGAGGGCAAAGCAAAGCCCGGAACGGTTGATAGCCAGTGCTGATCTGTCCACTACCACTTGCCACATTTGTGAGCTGTCACAGATGAGGGCAGTGTCATCAACGTGCTCCAAGTTATGAAGTCGTTCACCTTGGAGCAGCTGCACACCTTCCACGTCTAGTCCAGTGAATGAGATTTTCATAACTTCGTCCGTAACAAAATTGAACACCAAAGGTTAAGCGAGCGCGCCTGTGTTACACCACTGGAGATATTGAAGGGCGGCGACTGCTTGTCGTAAGCTTTCACTCTGCCTGAGCTACACGTGAAGCGCTCGGATAATATTTACCTATTTATCGATCCCACCATTGTTTAGCAAACAGTCCCCATTAACGCGTCGACCGACCGAATAAGAGGCACTTTTAGTGTAGAGGAACACGAGAACAGTGGTTTAACAATATCTGTGACGATTCTGCATCCCTTAGCGCAAAGTGATGATGTGCTCGACGCAGCCCCGACCTCGACAAAATCTGGCTTGCTCCTCACAAATCTGGCTCTCACGTATACCATACGATATGTGAAAATGGACAGCTTTCATGAATGTCAGGCTTATTCCTCTATGATTACTGCATTCAGAACGCGAACCTCTCTTGTAGGTCTGGACAATAACGGAGCGGCTGCAGTCGGTTGGGGTAGTTTTCCTGCTCCCGCTTTTTTATCCACCTTGTGGATATGTGTGGGGCTGGATAAAGATCATCTGGTCTTGCGGCCTTACTCGACTTCCGCAGTCCAGTCATATGTTCGACTTCTGAGCGCGAGTTCGGATCCAAACGGACAGCCCAAGGAGCAGGGTGTTCAAAGGTCAGCGAGAAATCTGGCAATTCTGGCCGATTAAATCGCTTTTCATATGCTCATCCCAATGCTCCAAACGTTTTGACAAATTGTGGATAAGTTCTCCATTCTCCTCACGTATGCTGTCGCTAATAACAGATCTCCTGCTGCCTGTTTCGCGTATCAGACGAAGTAACTTTCGGTGGTTACTAAGGGCGGCGGCCACTTCCATCTCCGATGAACAATAAGACCACCAGCATTCGCGCTCTCTTAAGGTAAACACGGAATTTGTCCTGAGGTCTTTGCAAATCTTGTGTTCGCTTTTAGCCGGAATGTGCCAGCGAGCATCGATAACTTCCAGAGACTGCGCAGTGACTCAATGTCCAGGTTGGCCATTAGCTTTGCCACATGAGAAGTTATGTGCTGCTGTTAAGATCTGGTGAACATGCGACTAGTGACCTTGAACTGTGCTCAGTGGGCGCTTAATTAAAATGCCAGCGTTGTTCGATACACATTCAAGTCATCTGGCTTCACCAGTTGGTGGGAGTCTATGCCCTCACAACGTTGTTGCGAGCATCCGCCGAAACGCACTCGAAGATCAGCACATACAAGTGCAAGGTCACTGTCCACACTTGTGCTCCAACTCGAGCGACAGTTTTGTACAAAGCCTCTTCAGGGGTAACTAATCGCGATGCGATTGATATGCGTTCAAGGCTGGTGAGCCGTGTCGCCCTCCGGTCCGTCGCATTAGGGACCCCAAGCGTACTTTGTAACCCGAGGGTGCGGGTTCGAGCATGCTTAGGGACCGGGCGACCATCGCAGTATCCTTAGATCTGCGCGGCTGGTGGTTGTCGCGCGACAACGAAGCGTCCGTACTGCATACCGGCGTTCTACTGGTGACTTTGACTTTCCCGCGGGTGCTATGTTGCAAGTTGATACTCGCAAGAAATGAGCAAGGTTCTTCACATAAATCAAGTAACCGCTCGCCGTTATCTTTATGGCAGTCTACACCTTTTTGGCCGCCCAGATGCAGCTCATTAGTGGACAATTATCCAACATGAACGTTAGATACCCAGCCAGCGCTACAGTATCCGCGCTTCTTCTTTGACAAAGGAGCTCGTTCAGCCGGCGATTAAAGACACCTCCCACCGAGTCAGCGCTACACTTTGTGGGCGCGTAGGTGGCGATAACAAGCAGGCAACTTTTAGCACCGTTTGACTTCGAAACTTTGAACGAGCTAGTCAGTCAGACGGCACATATCTGGCTACTGATTGGGGTCCAATCTACCAGAGCAGCTTCAGCCCAGGAACTGATTGCAATACTCACACGTGCTTGACTGACACTCGAAGTAACCACATCTCTGGATAGACACAGTGCGAAAGCACCGCCATTGTCACCTGAAGAAGGTCGCAGATTGAGCACACAGTTCGGGTTTTACAGGTGGATTATCGATCAGCAGCAGACCTCGATCGAGGGGGTCTCTAATGTTCGGGACAGTACTGCCTATTGACCGATCTGTAACAGTGTGCGAACGTTGAGTCATACCGATCTGATGGAGGATAGAAAGCTCTAAATAGAAGTCAATGAACTGGGCTTGTCGACGGAGCAGGCTGGCGCCGCGCGTTTGCGTGCGAGTTACAACTAGGAGATAAAGGTCTATCAGAACAAGGTTGTGGCGGCCAAGATTTTGGTGTGTGAAGATGGAGGGGAGTAAATGTGAGGTTTGTACGGGACGATAAGGGTGGAATAACGTAAGAAAAGGAGTACGAAGACTGGAAGGCTGAGAAGTAGCATCCAAACCCCCATCCACCCCGCTCGATGGAGCAGATAAGGCGCCGTCGATTATCCTCGGCAGTGGTCGGGGCATCAAAAAATTGTTTGAAGACATAGTAATTGTGTTGCATTGCGTGGGCAGGATACTGTTAGGCTGCCCAGGCTTAGATAGGGGAGCGATTATTGTACTCAACCAAGCGTTTGTTTCAAATATCTGCTCTCAAGGCAACGGCTTTGGTTATGAACCACAACAAATGGCCCGTTTTAAGAAATGGTGAGTTACTCTCACTCCGCCCCGCAACCTGGAAGACAAGTATCTTGGGTTTGTCTGGCCTCTAACCATTGACCCATCTGTTAGGAGTGACTGAAGATGGATCAGCCATTACAGGGCAATGAATCGTTGAGGCACGCAGAACACCACACCACGGTATGGTCCAGTCTCATTCCATGCAGTCACGCACCCTAAAACGTGTGCGCATGTGCGATTGCTAGCAGAGCATTGGTCCATGCCCTTAATATTTCTCTATCTGGTGGCTGCAGTAGTGAACTAGCGTGGCAATCTCAAGGTTGCTAGCAGTTTACTTGTTTTCATATGGGTCCTGGCTCGACTCTAAAGTCATTCCCCATGGCTGGATTCACTCACCACCTATGTCAGACAGTTGAGACAACAGCTCCTAGTGGAGTTCTCTCTACCTTTTAGCGCGTCACGCTACTCAGTCAAGGAGCCGCTAGACGAACTACTCCCTCCCACCCAGCAATAAGCTGTTGAGTAGTATGTTCTTCCCCGCACTTTCTCTGCCAGTTTTCTCTTCTCTGCTCCCACTGCTGCAGATTTCTCATCCAGTTATTTCACAGAATACTCCCTATCTTGTAACTTTGATAAAGGCCTAGGTACATCGTTTACCGTACCAAGGGTCCTATTTCACATTCTCACACGTTCTAACCTTGCAGATCATGGGAATCGAAGACGGTTGATCGGCGTGCATGGCGCGA